ATCAAATCAATCATCCAACCAAACTGCCTTGTGCTCCACCAAGATGACAGCATTCCTCCAAGGTGACTAACTTACATGTACCGTGCAAGCTAAGGCTTCAAATGTAAGTCAGTTTGTACACTGACTCACAAGAAGACATCTGAGCCAAGGAAATACATGCACTTACCTGACTTTACCTGATTAACCATGCACCAGTCTGTCAGTGTGAAGTAACATGTATGATCAGCCGATACCTGCAGCTGGCCGTGTTGATCAGAATGTAGGCACAAGCGAAGGAACAGCCTATAGTCTAGCCCCGCTAGTGTGGCACGGACTCTCACTCCCGATCCATCCTTCGGGAGTGAGAGTCCATGCCACACTAGTGGGGCTACCTATAGTCATACTGAAGTGCACTGCACACTGTACATGTACCTCCACGTATATGTACACACTACGCCGACATTCGGCGGAAATCAACCATGTGAAATTTGGATTCCGGGTCTATAACTATTAAACCACGATCCGATCAAGCTGAATGATTATCTCCCAGTAATGAAATCGGGTAACACAGCTCAGCTCAGTCATGTCTGTCTGACGTGGAGCCTGGAAGTAAGAAAATCAGACGCACAATGATCACTCTCGACCAGATCCCCCCTTGCAGTGTACTTTTCAGAGAAGCAAGGGTCATGAAGGTGTAGGCCTAACAACAGTACATGATATGACTTCACGAAGGGCCTTGCTGTGCCATACGATGCCTGACGTGCCGAGGCCCAGGGCTCACTACTTCTGGTAGTTCTCCATTCTGTACATGCATATTTACAGCCATATAGATATACAGACGCACGATGATCACCCTCGACCAGCATGACCAGATCCCCCTGGAAAGTACTTTTCAGGGAAACGAGGTCATGAAGGTGTAGGCCTAACATCAGTTCAAGCATGACTTCACGAATGTACGGTACATTACGCTCGGGGAGCTTCGGTCACGTGTACGTGTGTACGGTACTTCTGATTTATTCCCCGGCCACTTCCCACCACCGAGTTATGAATAATGCAATAACTTGTCTGGAACCACGCCCTCTAAATAGGCTATAAATAATGTAACAGAACGTTCTCCACATACCTGCAAATGGTCGCTTCTTCTTTGAAAACGC